GAAAGAAAGAAAGAAAATAGCACCTCTTCATTTGTGACAACCATAATGTCTCCCGACATTGCCATGTGTCCCCTTGGGGCAAAATCACCCACAGCTGTTAATCACTGCTATAGATACACTTCCTCAAAGATTAGCATCACTTCTGAACTATGTTTTTCTTCTTCCAAATAAAAATCAAAATATCCTTGACCACACAAAGTGAAAACCATACCAACAAAGACAAGCATTTTTCTGTAAAGATACCAAAAGAATAGCTTCTGACAAGGGTCCACACATTTATTGTTACCATTGCAAATAACAAAACAGAAAATGACAGGTAAATAGACAGAACATATCTGCTTCTTGCTCAACTTAATAGGAAAGCACCTGCAATCTCATCTCTCTCCCATCTCTCAGTAGCATCTGGGATCTCACTGACATGCCAATATCTGACCCTGGGAAAGTCATCTGCTGAGCTACTGCCCAGGGTTGGAGCTGGGACACTTCAGGTATTACTTCAACACAAACTGGTAACACAGGTACACATACAAGGAAACAGCACGGGTGCAACTAAATGTCAAGGTCCATTAGCAGCACAAAGGGGGAAAACTGCACTTCCAAATGCAAGCCCTAGAACTCAGCAGGGACATTTTTCATTTTCAACTTTCAAATGGTGGTAATAATAATAATAATAATAATAGTTGCTGTTTTTAAGAACAGCTTCCAAATTCAAATACATTGCACTTCAACCCCAAATACTGGAAAGTGTTCCCTATTGCTACTGACTTTGGAAAAAATGCAGGGTTGCCGAAGTTCAATTTGGACTAAATACCAGGAAACAGTCGCTTGAGTTATACCTGTACCTTTGATTTTGTGATTCTGCTTCCCAAGTGACCTCGCAATTATTAAGTCATCACAACACTACGTGGATGCTATCATTATGGTTTTGGCTTTTAGGGAACAGTCAACACTGACTAGTTATTCAGCTGACGTTGGATGACAACTCAATATTGAGAGTATAAATAAATGTGTACACATGCACATTTATTAGAGGCTGCACAATGTTGTTGTCCTCTAAAATATCACAATGTAGACTTGTAACTATCACATCCTATGAAGCCTCCACATTCCAGAACCATCAATGGGAAGTTCAGTCCTGACCAACAAAAAAGGCAGTCCCACTCTTAGGTGGTATCTGCTAAGATCTGAGAACTATGGAAATGAAATACCAAGTCCGACTTCCAGGCAAATCACCACAAATGTAAATGGAGAAGACGAACCGTAAGAAACTCCTCTGGGTGATGAAACCAAATGCTGTTCCCTCCGATAGAAACCAATCCATGTGAGCAATATTTACTGAATTATCCTCAACAGGTAAGGCTACAATCAAGACACTATAGGCAGAACAAAGATAAATCAGATACTGTCTCAGTCCTTAGAAGGCAAGCACTTTCATTATCAGATATGTACACTTTTTACCTTTTCCCCATTTCAGGTAGATGGCAAAGAACTACAGATCCAATCCTATTCACTCTACTTCCTCATTTAAGATCACAAAACTGAAGACAGAATGGGTCTTTCTCAAATTGAAAGCAGCATTCTAAAAGGAGAGAATTTTGATGAAGGCCTTTCAAACCCTTTCAGAAAGTAAATACGGAGAAATTTATTTACTGTGTGATTGGTGGAAGGGTGGGGATTTTAAAAATCCACTTTTTCATTCCTTTGAGTCCCCTTTCTCTCCAATAAGACAAACAGAGCTCAAAAATCCAGTTCAATCTGATTTCTTGATTTTAATAAAGTTCATTTCCAACTAAATTTCTCTAGGGGCAAATTTACTTTCACATTAAAAAAATCCCTCAGTGATAAATTTGTGAAGATAAGCCATACTGGATAAAAGCTACACAGCACACAGCTAGAGACAGAAAATGAGACACACACACACACACACACACACACACAGAGCTATCCCTTTAAAGAAAATAAATTTAAATTTAGGGAATCCTTCTTCAATTGCTATGGTACCCAATTTAGAGACAGTTTATAGCCAACCAGAAGATATATCAGCAAGCAATAAGACACAACAATAAGCAATCAGAAACATCAGTGAGCAATAAGACACCAGAGTCAGCAGTAAAGACACACCAGGGAGAACATTTCTGAGCAATTACCACATGTCTCCATTCAGGAAGGGAGAGAGAAAAACTTCACTCAGCAAGGACTGGAACCCCATAAAACTGAACTCCCACAACTCAGGTTGACAGAGGGGTCTGAAGACACCAGCATGGTCATGGATCAGAGAGAGGGCGGAAAAGCAAGGAAGGGCTGCCCATAAATGAGAACTGTTCACTTAAGTCCTCGTCCTTCTTTCTGGTACTCTATAGACATGGCAAACCGTTTTTTAAAAATATGTGGTTGACTGACAAGATACAAAGGACTACCCACCTTCTGGGGGAAATGAAGAAGGCTGCCCAGCATATCTATATCCACTCTGACCAAGACAGTGTCTATGAAAGGGATGCCTCTGCAAGCATGCATGCGTGCATGCACACGCACACACACACACACACACGGACCAGCTTTTGCAAACATCAGCCTGAGAGCAGACCCTGAGACAGAGAAATCACCTGATGAGACAGATGATTAAATCTAGGAAACTGGCAGCTCTCTTCTAGGTAAGAAAATGGTAGCACCTTTTTACAGACGCATGCCTTTATGATAATTTACAAATGGAAGGAGAGATGGAGCTAACACTCAGAATCTCTTCTCTACATAGCACTAGCAGATCTTAAGCTGAGCTCAGCGGACTCCAGTACCAACAGTTACCCATTCCCAAGCACTTAAACTCAACAAAACCTATGAAAACACTTCTCAGAGGTGCTAAGAAGATTAAGTAAAATCATGTACACTGGAGGGTCAGGAAGAGGAACTTGTATTTACTGGACAGCTACTAAATGTTAGTTTCCTCTCCTTCCCTGCCTCCAAATTTTTTTCTGAGTCACCCCTACTTTATAGCAACTATGGTTTGTGTCATTTTATGCATGTGTATTCTTTTCCTAATTACCCAGTAAAAATCATGATGGTATGGACTGTGTCCCACACATACCTGAAAGATGAAAAGACATGTGAATGAGGTTATTCATTAAATGCGTAACTCTAAATTTGCTCCGATTTCCCAAAAAGGAAAAAAAAAAAAAAAAAAAAAAACACAACACTCTGGTTCTTTAAATTATTATTAAAAACACAGCACCACACATTTAGAGGAGGCCCACTCAGAGCCATTGGCTTAGAAAACATGATACTTGTTAAGCGGTAAACTAGCTCAATACATATGGCTGGTATGTTTCCAAATTTCATTTGAAAGTAGTAGTCACCAAGTCCTTCCCATTTCCTTCTTGGAGGTGCACCCACTACCCTGTGCTCTGCAGCTTAAAGCCCAGGTAGCAGTCTCTGTGAGCCTTGCAACAAACAGGACAGTCAGAGGCAGCAAGATCCCACCTTGGGGGAAAGAATGACAGGAGATGTGTTCATAGGGGCCCACAAGCCACAGGACTTCAGAGGCAGTGGGGAACAGCAAAGTTAAAGGCAGAACACTCCATTCCATCTCCAGAAATATGACACCAAACAGTGATGAACCAGATAGAGTCTTTCCAGTAGCGTTTTCTACTGGGTACAAGGGTGGCAAGTGGAGACTGAAGAGGCATGGTTCCAGTTATTAATAAGCAGCTAAACACAGTGGGAGGTTCTCTTGTCTAATTACAGAAGCTGTTGGAAACTGCAAGGAAGACAGGATTTATGGCCTAGATGACACTGCCTCGGTGTTGTAATTAAAAGTTATTTTTAATAACTTTGGTTGGATACTTTGAATTATTAGAAATATATTTTGCAATTTAAAATTTGCTAAAGGGCAAAGAACATTAAAAAGGTAATAACAACCAGCCTGCATAATGTAAAACAATGAAATGTTCTGACACTGCGAGGTGGGAAAGGAAAAGAATCTCTCCCACTTAAGTGTGTGAATTTTTACAAGCAAAAGGGAAAGGGAAATAAATAAGCTTAAAGTATATGAAACAAGATTTTTTTAAAAGCAGGAACTGATGTCAAAAGTAACCTAGTTACTTACTTTATCTATTAACCAGAGTTTGGGTACCACCCACCAAAAGTATAGACAGCTTGTTCACAACCATTCACCCAAACCACTGAATCCTAATCTTCAGGCTCTTCACTTTGTCCTGGTTCCCCAGAAAATCGTGGTCACCCTAACAAGAGCAGTCCTGGCTCAAAAACAAAGACCCAGAGGCTGACCTCAGAGCAGTGTGATGGTGGGGGACTTGGAGGGAGGGTTCTAATGTGAGCTGTAGGCAACAACATGCTGCATATAATTTGGGTGTTGTTTTTAGTCAATTTTCCTTCTCTCATCCAATATTCCAGTTTCCAGAAGGGGCAAAACAAAATGCCTTCCAGTGGGAACCGCATGGTGGTGTACATGAGTGGCTACAGAATCCGCCTAGGATTAGGCAGGGGCCATTTATCTCCTAAAAGCCATTTCCATAATTTCTGTTTCTCCATATATACATAGGAGGCATTTTCTGCAATGGTGGCTCTTTTTTTTTTTTTTAAACAACAGGGAGGAGAGAACCTATTATATGTAACAGACTTTCAAAATTGTCTGATGGGAGTATGGAGGAGGAATGAACTCTAAAAGGCATGTGCTTCTCAAATAACCTCTATATTTCATTTAATCCATGCTATGAATCTTCTCTTTACAAGTGAATTCCAGCAGCTCATTAAGAGCAAATGTGTCACAGAAACTACCAAATATTATGCATCATGATAAAACTATAAAAAGCATTTTAACATCTGCTATTAAAAAATAAATTTAGACTTCTCTTTACAATGGCCATGCTAAGTTTATAGAATTTATATTATGTGGGTTCCAGTAAGAACCACTGCTCTCCTTTATTCTCTTCTTGGTCCAAAGCAGGGTGTGACTCCATATCAGGGCAGAGAATTGATATTTTTACCTGCCACATTAATTTTCTCAAGTGCAACCAAGCTGGGAACAGCTGTGGTGGAGTTGGTTGAGTTTGTTCCGGTGCCATTGACAACAAGATTGTCCACCTTCGACTCCAACTTGCCAATGCGCTGCAAAATGTTATCTAATAACACAGCAAGGGTTTTCTTCAGATCTGTAAAAGAAAGTGCAGACAATTTTAAAATTCTATGGCCTCTGCATATCTGTCTGGCTTGCTCTCTCTTCATCATGGAGAATAAAACTTCTCAAATGTTTCTGAAGTGGTACAAAAGATCTGTCAAACCACATCTGAAAGATGACAAGGGCCATCTTCATCTGGCCCAGATCCTACTAAATACATCAGTCTGTTGCAGAATGCAAGTCTGACAATAAGTGACATGGTATAACTATTTCCAGCTACTTGGTCAACAGGGAAAACTCCTTGTTAGCATCCTGCTATAGCACTACATTGAATTCCTCCTTACAGCACCATAGTTTCTCATACAAAGCATGACACCTCAAGGGTGCAGCAAGATCCCAAAGTAGCCTTTGGATCAAGTTCGTTATTTTTCGTGTTGCATACTCTAGTATGTCCCAGTTTTTTAAAAAGTGTTCAATTCTGTTAGTTACATACACTAATACTTCATAAAAGCTACAGCTCCAGATTTTCAGGTCTGCTACACAACCCAGAATTGACTATAATCAGATTTAGGAAATATTTAAAGTAAAGATTAGAGTCATTCATTTGCTCACAAGTATTTATTAAGCTACTACTATGTGCCACATATTATTCTAGATGCTGGGGATATACTCTCATGGTTCTTACATTTAAGAGTTGGGTTCCCTTTCTCACACATCTGACTACACATTAAAGAGTACTGCACTTCTCTCTGGATAAATTACAGGAACTCCTTCACCCCTATGGATGCATTTACTATTTGTAGACAAGATATTCAAAGAAAAAAAAAAAGATAAGCTTAGACTCTCTCCTCTAAAAATTCATAATCACAGAAAGATATACTGACTTGTATGTGTCAGAAAAGCAGATGGGTGACTGCATAACCATCCATGGAAATAGAATCCAGACCCATTTCTGAATTGGGAGTGGGCCAGGGGAAAAGTGCAGAGTGTGGGTAGCAGGACTGAGAAAAGCCCTGAGTTAAGACAAACGGGAAGTTGCAACCTTCCTTTCTCCTGGAAAATAGCAAACTTGTCCCTGAGCAGATGCAGTGATCTGACCATGAAATAAACACACGTGGTCACATAAACAGCACAGATCACAGCCAGCGAACCTCGTCAAAGGTGCACCAGCCTGTTCCATTATGCCCAGTGAACCAGAAGCAGATGCTGGTGCTGTGCTTCTTGTACAGTGGCAGAATCTTGAGCCAAATAAATCTCTTTTCTTTATAAATTACCCAGGCTCAGGTATTTTTCATAGCAATGCAAAATGGACAACTGTTTTATCTTCACATCCTCCCCATGAGGTAGATGTGACTCCATTTTACAGATAAGAAAACTGAGGTTCACAGATATTAAATAAGAAGCTGATAAAATGAGGGCTTGCCTCAGGACTGTTTAATTCCCTGATGTCTCAATGGGACCAATCAGAAGTCAAGAACCTGGGTAGAAAAAATAAACCAAGGGTGAAGTTCAGAGTCTTTCATCCATAACACAGTGGTTAAGGGCCTGACTTTGGAGCCAGAGTTCCTAGGTTTCAGTCCCACCTCTGGCATTCCTGTTTCCTTATCTGTAAAAGAGTGACATGAACAACACTTCAGCTTTGGGGTTGTGGAGAGGAGTTAATGAGTTAATATTTATAAAATGTTTTGAATACTGGCTGGCACATAATAAGCACTGCATAACCGCCTGTTAAATATATAAGTAAAATAAAGCCTTTCAGTGGAAAATGTTCTCATTCTTCCCAAAGAAATCTCTCCTCAGGTGATGCAAAGCTTTATTGCTTTATCCAAAGGGTCATGAGAGCACTCTCCTCTGCGGTCTGCAGTCCTACGGTCGGCATGACTCAGTCTGTCACAGGCACATCATTAGTTGGCACAGACAGCGGGAGTCGGTCACCTGTTCTGTCACTGAGTCTAATGCATCAACTGGCTCTCCAGAGTTCTGAAGAGTGCCAGAGGCCAGCCACGCAGAAGGGGGCAGTCGTGCCAGCGAGAAGGGGCAATGTTCAGTATAAAGAAATACTCCTCAGTATTTCTTTTCATTTCAGCCTCTTTGCCTAGAGCCTGTGTCATCAAGCCAGCTAGAATCCGAATACGATCTAGATAGCATTTAACTATCACCAGTAATTGTAGTTGGCCAAGCACAGAAGCCCTGGCCCTCTAGTGTGACTTAACTCAGGATTTTTCAACCTCGGCACTACTGACACTTTGGGCCAGGTAATTCTTTGTCGTGGTAACTGTCCTTGCATTGTAGGATGTTTAGCAGCATCCCTGGTCTCTACTCCCTGAATGACAGCAGCAATTCTCCAGGTGTGGCAATCAAAAACGTCTGCAGACACTGCCAAATATCCCTTGGAGGGACAAAACTGCCCTCATTTGAGAACCGCTGAATTAGGTGCATTCTCTCAAACCCTCTGTATTCCCCACTGCCCTCTGTGAAGACATGGAGAGAGAACTGTGATAGAGGGCTTACAGGAAAGGAAATGCCCACTGAATGAACCTGCATCATGTGTGACTTCCATTCACTGGAGGGACTGCTACAAATACAACGGAAAGTTGCAGTGAGGGAAGTCTGCCTTCCTCCCTAAAGGAGAGCTAACAGAACATGAGCCAATGCTGATGGGCTCTCAACAGACTACTGGACACAGTCCTCAATCCACTGTTACTGGTGATAGTCATTAGTGGAGCATACTCTAGGTAGGATACGAAGTTGTCACACTTATAATTAAGAAGATATTCTCCCTCAGTTCTCAAATTACAGTGACCAGTAAATACGACTGACCTACTATTTCTTGTTGACCCCATCTGCCAAAGATTGACCTTCTGTGACTGTGTGACATGGAGTGTAAAAGGGGATTCATGATGAGGAGGAGGGATCACCATCACCACAGCCACCCTGATATCACCTCCTCTACTTACTTAACTTTCTATATGCCAGGCAGTGTGCTGAGCACTTTAAATGAACTAATTCATTTAATCCTACCAAGACAATCTGAGGAGAATATGATCATCCCTATGCCCCTCTTACAAATAAATCACAGCACAGAGAGGCTAAATAATTTAGCAGAGGTGATTACAGACCCAGGACTCAAACCCAGTCTGGTTCCAGGGCTGATGGCTCTTACCCACTATGCTGCACTGCCTCTTAAGAACTACAACGGACCTGTCCACCAGCAAGCATCTCTGACTTGCTTCCCCTGAATCTACTTGTTAGAGAATAACCTCTGGGATTTTGCCATGTGTTCGTGGGAAAACATATACCAACCACTCTTAAGACTCACTCATGCCCCTGTCCTGTGGCAACTCTGGTCACCTGACCCAGTATCACTAAACATCCACCAGCTGACACTGGCAACTACCAAATACATCAAGTGATCCAAGATTTTTTTAAAATTAAGACTCTTTCTATATCTTCTCCCTTAAAATGAAGATGGAATATAAGGCTACTAAAAACCTTGAATTCTCTAAGCACTTTACCTGGGGAGGCATGTTTTCTCTCCCAATATGAAAGAAAAAAGTTCATTTTTAACTCAAGCAGCTACCCAAGTCACCATTTCAAAGCAGCCAACCCAAGATTAAGGATGTTCTTAATAAAAAACAATGACAGAGATGACGCCAAGCCCTTATCTGTATCATTATACAGTGCTTGGCACATTAAGTATGTGTTATGTAAGTAAACAAATGAATGAATGAAACAAACTATAGTACTCTCACAAATAAGGCTCAATAAATTATACGTTTCCAGGCAATGAAATTATTTTGCACCTTGTATTTTACTGTTAAACCTCCAAAAACTGTTAACAGTTTTATCACAATTTTAAAGAAATAACAGGCTGACATGATGGCTCATGTCTGTAATCCCAGCACTTTGGGAGGCCAAGACAGGTGGATCACCTGAGGTCAGGAGCTCGAGACCAACCTGGCCAACATGGTGAAACCCCGTCTCTACTAAAAATACAAAAATTAGCTGGGCGTGGTGGCATGTGCCTGTAGTCCCAGCTACTCGGAAAGCCGAGGCAGGAGAATCACTTGAACCCGGGTGGCGGAGGCTGCAGTGAACGAAGATCGTACTGCTACACTCCAGCCTGGGTAACACAGCCAGAGCAATACTCCATCTAACATAACATAACATAACATAACATAACATAACATAACATAACATAACATAACATAACATAACATAACAGTTTTTTTGTTTGTGTTTTAATCTTTTTTTTTTTTTTTTTTTTTGAGATGGAGTCTTGTTCTGTGGCCAAGGGTAGAGTGCAGTGGCACGATCTCAGCTCACTGCAACCTCCGTCTCCTGGATTCAAGCGATTCTCCTGCCTCAGCCTCCTGAGTAGGTGGGATTACAGGCACCACCACGCCCAGCTAATTTTTGTAGTTTTAGTAGAGACGGGGTTTCACCATGTTGGTCAGGCTGGTCTCGAACTCCTGACCTCATGATCCACCCGCCTCAGCCTCCCACAGTGCTTGGATTACAGGTGTGAGTCGCCGCACCGGTCTGTTTGTGTTTTAATCCTAATGGTAACCCTTTTATTCACTACAACTGTACAAAGAATTTCTATAGTTTAATAAAAATGAAAGAACAATATTACTCCAAATTCTTGTATAATATTTTAATATTTCATTGTGTCTTATAGTTATTATAGCCATAAAATGAGTCCTCAGCAAGATTATCATTTTCAATTACTAATGAGCTTTTAAAATTTTGTTTGTGGTTCAAAGCCTTCACAATAAAAATTTAATCCCAACATTACTACTGCAATTCTGCATTCCTAAAACTTACTGTACATGATGAAGATGAGATCAAAGTAGTTGAAAAACATTTAAAATGTCTCTCTAGGGAAAGCAGGCTTTGGTTTCTATCATGCCGGCATTCTTTGATAAATGGTAAGGTCGATTAAACTGCACTGGAACAGGTTATTTGACAGCTTCTGTTAAGTTTTCACTTCCAGGAAGCCATGGCATTAATGGGTAAGAAGTGACTGGAAGG